TCCTCTGGGCCAGGCACAGTGGGCCTTCGAGGCAGGTGTGCCTGCTGGCCCCTGGGGTGCCTGCTGTTCACATCACCTTGAAGAGCGAAGGGGGCCAGAGGTGGCACCAGTTAGGAATGGTGTACTAGCAGTTAAGGTGACGATTCCTCCGTCTTCCCATGATTCCTCCCTTGCAGTGTGCCCATCACTCGCCTCGACACTGGGTTCATAGTTGAGCTTCCAATCTCCTGGCAGAGAGAAACCTACCACCCCAGTGTGAGAGGAAGAGAGCTATGGGCCGGATTTAGAGGTCAGAGGGGGTCACAGAAGGAGGAAGTTCCTAGTTCTGCCTGGTACAGTGCGGGGTGGGCAGGGCAGGGTTTCCTGAACAAGTTGAAAAGGAACAGATGAAATACTTCTTATATGCAGTAAAATCCACAAAACACAAAATTTACCCTTAGTGGTATTTAGTGTGTTCACAGCATGTGAAATTGTCACTACTCTAGTTCCAGAGCCTTGTCCTCATCTCGAAAGGAAACCCCTCCAAATGAAGCAGTCACTCTTCAGTTCCTACCTTCCCCAGTCTCTGGCAGCCACTGACTCATCTCTTCTCTCTGTGGAGTTGCCTGTTCTGGGCATCTTATGTCAGTGGGATCATACAACATGGAGTCTTCTGTGTCTGGCTTCTTTCACTTAACCTCATGTTGACAGAGGCCACACACGTAGCCTGTGAGTATTTCATTCCTTTTTATAGCTGAATAATACTCCATTTTATGGCTGTAATACATTGTTTCATCAGTTGATGAACACTTGAGTTTTTTCCATCTTTGGTTATTTTGAGTACTGCTACTATGAATGTTAGTTAGTGTACAAGGTTTTGTTTGAACACCTGTTTTCAGTTCTTTAGGGTATATACCTAGCAGTGGGATTGCTGGGGCCTGTGGTAACTATGTGTTAAACTTACTGAGGAACTGCCTCTTATCTGTAGCAGCTGCACCATTTTTCATTCCACCAGCAGTGTACCAGGATTCCAGTTTCTCCACATTCTCCTTGTCACTTGTTTTCCATTTTTGAAAATTATAGCCACCCTAGTGGGTGTGAAGTGGTGTGTCACTGTGGTTTCATTTTTATTTCCCTGGAGGCTAATGGTGTTGAGCATCTTTTCATGTGCTATTGACCATCTGTATAACTCCTGAGTCACTATTCAACATATTCAGACCGCTCTTGTTCTACATACACAGAGACCCTTCTCTGACCCTGCTCCTTCCCTGGTGCCCTGCCTGCTTCTTTCTCCTACCACACTTTTCAGAGGTGGTGTGGATACTCTGGGTCTTCCTGCTTCATCCTCCGCTCCCTCACCCAGTCCCCACAACTTCCATGATACCAAGTCCAGCAGACATTGGGCTTTAGTGGCATTTGGTGGGGTTGACCCTCCTTCCTTCCTGAATGGCTTCTTCCCTTCGCCTCAGTGATGCCCTTTCTTCGTTTGCTTCACTGGCTGGGTCTCCACAGCCCCCTTTGTCACCTCCTCCTTCACCCCTCTGCCCACTCCATGCTCTTGTACTAGGTAGTCTCATTTATCCCCTGACCTCAGTGACCAGGTAGAGAGTTGACTCCAGGTTGACATCTTGGCTCAGGGGGTGTTTCCTGAGTGCCAGCTGTCAATGCCCTGGGCCCCAAGGTGAAGAAGGCAGACGAGGACAGGCCAGTCTTACTGTCTCCAGAGCTGGTGGGACAGACAGTAACCAAGGGGAATGGCAGCTGTGCTTGGAGTAACAGGCAGAGGAGACACTGTGGGGAGCAGGCAGAGGTCATTCTACTGGCATTACCGTGGAGGTGCCTCCAACTCAGCACTTCCAGTTAGTTTCTTCCTCCCCATGTTTCTTTCCTGTCTCAGCGACCTGTCGCACTGTGCCCCTCCCTGTGGCAGCCAGAGGTTTGGGAGGTCTCCCCTACCCCTTATCATCTTCATCCCACATCTCTACTCTTGACCAGCACCTTGATTTTACCCCAAATTCTCTGCTCTGCCCAGTGTCCCATGTACTGTCCTAGTCTCTTGTCTAGACAAGTAGAAAAGCCTCTTGAGGCTCCTCCACTTCCCTTACGCTCCAGGCCACACCTGCAGCGAAGCCCTTGGGGCCTTTCAAAGGGAAAGTGTGTTTGTGTTATTGCTGCCTTCAGACCCTTTCACTTGGCAATTTTCCCTTGAGGTAAAGGTCACATTCCTTAACCTGTGCTGGTGGCTCTAAGGGCTCCTGAGGCCACTTCAGCCCCACCTTGTGCCTGCCTGACTCTCTGCTGTGTCCTGTGGCCGTGCTGAGCCCTATGATTCTCAGTGATGCCTGCCTGGACACTGCCCCACACACGCACACGTGCACACGCACACACATGCACACTGCTTCCCTCTTGCAGGTCTTCACATGCCCTTTGAGGAGCCTTCCTGACCATGCAGGTTCCTCGGACTCCTGTCAGTTTGGGGCACCCTGTGTTTTCCACGGCACTGGACAGTGTGATGTCCAGGCCAGCGGGCCTGGCCCCCAGGAGCGGACAGTCCTCATAATCAGCAGGTGAACATCAAGTTCCAGCACCCTGGCTACAGAGAAGCCTGGGCTGAGAGCTCCCGGCAAGCAGTACCGGAGCTCCGGGACACAGCAAGGCGGGGCCCTACCTGAACAGAGTGGGGTCATGGAGGCATGGGGCCAGGTCGTCTTCTCTGGAAGTCACTGCTGCCTCGAGGAGTGTGCTTGGGAGGGAGACCAAGGAAGGTGAGGCCAGCAGGGCCCATGGAGAGGAGACATGGTGTGGAGTCTGCAGGTCTTGGGAGAACTTTGTTTTCTCAGAAGAGTGGAAGCCTTACCTCAGTGTGTCCTGCTGTGGGCTGTGGGTACCACGGATTTCGTTCTATTTTATGACTTAGCCAGATTGCCATTTCTGTGTGGAAGCCGTTGTCAGGGAGAAGCAGGGAGCTCGCCTGACCGGGTTTGGACCCAGTGGTCCACCAAGGTCGTTATGTGGGTAGCACTAGATTCGGTGTTACAGAAAGTAAAAAGCACCTGCAAACTTCCATCTCCCAGACATGTGTGTCGGTGTGCGTGCAACGTTTAAAACAGCATCTCCTGGGAGGAGCTATTTGTGAGTAGGGAGTAAATACTAGGCTTTTCTGGGGGTGTAAAGAGAGAGCCAAGCAGAAGAGTTTTAACGTGGAGAACCCGTGGAGGAGAGTGGTGGACGGAGTTTTTGAGGAGGAAAGACCCATGCTGTAGGGGTCAGGTGGAAGAATGACAAATGTCAGGGACAGAACCCAAGATGCCCGTTTCTAGGAAGAGCTCAGACTGTGGGGAGGAAGGTAACCCAGACCTGTGCCTGTGCAGATTCGTCTGCGTGCGGCGCTCTGGCAGCTTGGAAGACATCCCAGGCATGGTGTTCTTAAGCACTTTATTAAAAAATAAAGCAGCACTTCTTAGTAAAACTTCCATTCAAGGATGAGAGTAAATAGTTAGAAGTCTATCATTAGGTCTGCTCTCCTTGGCCCTTCGTGATTGGAGGAGCTTTCGGGTTTGTGTTTCTAAGACAAGTTTGGTCGGCTTTCAGAGGGCACATGTGTGGGTACAAAGTCCATTTCTCTGGGCAGACCACAGGGCAGGGACAGTGAGGACCTTCACTGCACAAAGAACCTAGGTGCTGGACACTCACCAGTTTATCTGTCAGCTGTGACTGCTGGGGCCAAGCACAGCTGAAATGCACAGGGCTCCTGGCACCAGCTGGTCCCCTTAGAGTCTAAGGTTCTCAACCTGTGGATCGCGACCGCTTTGGGGGTCAAACAACCCTTTCACAGGGATCGCCTAAGACATAACAGTAGCAAAATTACAGCTAAGAAGTAACAACGAAAATAATTTTATGGTTGGTCACCACAACATGAGGACCTGTATTAAATGGTCTTGGCATTAGGAAGGTTGAGAACCACTGCCTTAGACTGATCCAGATGATGGGATCCCGCTCTGCTGCATGTGCCCTCCGCATTCATCCACCTCTGCTTGAGTGTCTGCTGCTCACCTGGCAAGCCGGCTGCTGTCGTGGGACAGCCTGGCTGTTGCGGGGCAGTCTGGAGACCAGCACTGAATCCAGGTCCTGAGGTGAATGCAGGGCGGGAGAGAGCAGCTAGAAAGAGCACTTTCCAAGGCTCAGGAAAAGGGCTCTGCTGTAGCCTTTCCTGAGGCCGAGTGGTGAGCTGGCGGGAAACCTCCATTTATGAGCTGCTCAGCATATTAGTTTCCTGTTGCTGCGGCACAGATACCCACACACTTAGTGACTTAGAAGAACATCAGCTTTCTTTTACAGTTCTAGAGGTCAGAAGTCTGAAATGGGGCCAAAATTAAGGTGTCGGCGTCACTAGTTCCTTCTAGAAGCTCTAGAAAAGGAGGTATTTCCCTGCCTTTCCCAACTTTTAGAAGCAGCCTGCACTCCTTGGCTCATGGCCCCTTCCTCCATCTTCAGAGCCAGCAGCGTGGCACATGCCAGTCTCTCTGACCTCTGCTTCGTCATCTCAGTGCCTTCTGTCTCGTAAAGACCTATGTGATTACTTGGGGTTCACCCTGATGACCCAGGATCATCTGCCATCACAGGATTCTTCATCTCATCATACCTGCAGAGTTCATTTTGCCAAGTTGAGGTCCCAGGGATTACGATGTGAACATCTTGGAGTGCCATTATCATCAGCCAAGAGTGTGTGTGTGTGTGTGTGTGTGTGTGTGTGAGAGAGAGAGAGAGAATTTATCAGTCTATATGGTAAATATTTTAAAGTCAAAAGGAAATTAGGTATGTATCTGTGATTCTCAAAATCAAGCATTACAAGAGGTGGATGGAGCCTCAAAGTCCAGAAACTAAGGAATTGCATTGTTCACAGTGGAGTGGAGGGCACTGTCCCAGAGTAGAACTTCTATATATTTTCCCATGTTGTAATTGTGCTATGAAATAAAATCATTTGACATGTTCATTTGTTTTTATTTTTATTTTGTGAACAGATTTCCAGCAGGAAAAGCAGCCTTATTTCTGTCTCATCTCCAGTACCTAGTAAAATAAAAGTGCCAGCCACTCAGTCCATAGTGAAGAAAGACAAACGGCAGAGTTCCTCCAGGTTTAGTGCCAGCAATAATAGAGAACTGCAAAAGCTACCATCTTTAAAAGGTAATTTTTATTATTTGTCTTTTATAGTTAAATTTTGTCAGTTTAGGGAGAAGGAGTAACATTTTGATAGTTTGCTAGCTTCTTATAACTTTGCTGTGTTTATATTCTGTAGGGTCATTTATTGAGTTTTTTTTTTTTTAGATTGAATGCCATTAACTTATTTACCCATCCAATATTTAAACTCCAGCCCTGGCCGGTTTGGCTCAGTGGCTAGAGCATCGGCCTGCGGTCCGGAGAGACCCGGGTTCGGTTCCCGCTAAGGGCATGTACCTCGGTTGCAGTTTGTCCCCGGCCCTGGTTGGTTGTGCAGGTGGCGACCACTCGATGTGTCCCTTTCACATCGATGTTTCTCTCTGTTCCTCTCTCTCTCCCTCCCACTCTACCTGAACAAAGAATGGAAGAATGTCCTCGGGTGAGGATGATTAAAAAAAAAAAAAAAAATTTAAACTCCAGATCTACTTAAGATGAAAATCTAACCATGAATGTATTATAGGTATAATACACTAAAACGTAACAGAGGAAAGACTTAAAAGTTTCTCGTTTTACTTGTAATTAAGCTAGCCAGTTTTTCTTTCAAGTAATTCTTCTCTTTCATCTGTCTCAGAACCCTACAACTGAGAAAGGAGCCATCCCAGTGGAGTAACTGAAAACTGTGTAGAGCCCCTTGGTGTTTCTGGTGGTGGTGGAGTGAGGACCAAAATCAAGTCCTCAGGGGACTGCTTCTATGAGTCATTGGGCGTGACTCTACCCAGGGGTTTCCTATTTGAGAGGAGTCAGGGAGGGAGAGCTCTTTGCTTTGAATTTCCCCAAAATAACACAGTTGCCCCTTTCTCCCTGACGGTATTCAGTCTCTAAAAGTGATCCTCTGGGAGATTTTGAGATTGAAGTACATAAAACCTTATAAAAGAAAATTGGGTAAGGACCTCAAAGTCAAATGTGACCTCGGAAAAACTTCCTATTTACTAAAAGCTAAGACTAGTGTACTACATAAAGGAAACTAGATATTTTTCATACCTCAAATACATCATAATGGTTCTTTTACAATTAATTTTCATTTCATATGAACTCAAAAACTTCGTGCAGATATGTGGGGCAGTGGGGGTGAAGAGAGGGATGGAGGAAGGGAGGGAGAGACTTCCAGATTCTTGGATGCACTTCCTGCTCCTGGGTTGCTAGAAGTCACTCAGTGCCGTTTCCAGAGCTCTGACTTGTGCTTGGTTTAGCTTTGTGGTGGATAATATGCGTTCGAAGTCATTTTTGAGGGGTCTTCCCCTCCCAAATAGTACATGCTTTTCTGGTGCTATTCATTCATTCAGCAAATACTGAATGCTTTTGAGCACCTACAAAAAACAGGCCCTGTTCTGGGTCCTGGGGTTACAGCATTAAACAGAAACCAGGGTCTGCTCTGTGGAGCCAGCATCCTGTCCCAATGGGGAAAACAGCAGTGAGTGAGAAAAGGAATGTGTGCCTGTGACTCCTTCCAGTATCCTTTGGAGGCTGGCCACCATACATGGCATGTCTGTGGTGGAGAAGGTGTCCTGTAACCATTATTGAGCCTTCCTTCATTCCTATACCCATTATGGGTATTAAGCCTGGCTCCTGCCATTAGGGTCTGTGCCCACCATCAGGACACCACGCAGAGGCCCAGGCTTGCGGGTCCTTCCCAGCTTCTTTTGCTTCTTCCAAGGATTCTCTGCACAGCCCTCTTTCTTTTTTTTATCCTCACCCGAGGACATTTTTTCGTTTTTTGTTCAGATAGGGAGGGAGAGAGAGGAAGAGAGAGAGAGAGAGAGAGAAAGAAAGAGAGAGAGAGAGAGAAAAACATCGACACGAAAGGGACACATTGAGTGGCCGCCACCCGCATGACCCAACCAGGGCCGGGGACAAACCTCAACAGAGGTACATACCGTTAGCGAAACCGAACCCAGGTCTCTCTGGACCACAGGCCAATGCTCTAACTGCTGAGCCAAACTGGCCAGCACAACCCTCTTTCTACAGGTCTCAGTTTGCGATTCTTAACCTCCATTTTCTCTTTATACCGAGTCAGAACAGCATGCAGTTTGCTTGCACTATTCCCAGAGAAATCAGTTTTCTTTTGTACATCCACAAATCCAGGGGCATTTCACACTGGTCAAGTCAGTTCCCTTCTCTGGTCTTGTTTGGTCGGCCTTTCTTGGCTGTTCTGAAACAGTGCTTCTGCATATATGTTAAAATAATTTTGTCTAGATCAGAAAAATAGGGATTGATTGAAATAACATTGTAGTTGTATGTTAATTTGGGTAAGATTGACACTTGTATGACACTCTTCCCATTGAGGAAGATGGTGTATCACTTCCATTTTTCTGGATCTGGTTTTCTGACTTTTTATAAGATTTTATGATTTACTTTTAAGTCTCTACCTTTTCATTAAATTTATTCCTAAGTGAGTTTTTGTTACTCTTATGATTGGGTTATATTTTTTTTATTTTTGCTTCTAATTAGTTCTTGTTAATCTAATGAAAAACCATTGGTGCCCTGGCGGGTTTAGCTCAGCGGTTGAAGCATCGGCCTGCGGTCCTGAGAGACCCAGGTTCGGTTCCCACTAAGGGCATGTACCTCGGTTGCAGTTTGTCCCCGGCTCTGGTCAGTCGTGCGGGTGGCAGCCACTCGATGTGTTCCTTTCACATCGATGTCTCTCTGTCTCTCTCTCTGGTCCTCTCTCTCCCTCCCACTCTACCTGAACAAAAAATGGAAAAATATCCTCGGGTGAGGATTTAAAAATAAAATAAAATAAAAACCATTGGTTTTTTGGGTTTGTTTTTTTTTTTTAATCCTCACCTGAGGATGTTTTTCCATTTTTTGTACAGATAGAGTGGGAGGGAGAGAGAGGAAGGGAGAGAGAGAGAGAAACATCGACGTGAAGGGACACATCGAGTGGCTGCCACCCGCACAACCAACCAGGGTCGGGGACAAACTGCAACCAAAGTACGTGCCCTTAGCGGGAACCGAACCCGGGTCTCTCTGTACCGCAGGCCGACGCTCTAACCGCTGAGCCAAACTGGCCAGGGCCATTGGTTTTTTTAACATTTTCTTATCATCACCTTACCAATGTTTTTTATTAATCTTAGTAATTTTTTTACTAGAGTATGCATATATAGTCCTGTCATTTGTAATTAGATACTCTTATCTCTCTTCCAATATTTATACCAATATATGCTAGTTATTTTAACTTTAGGACCAATAAAACGTAGATATCAGAGATGAGAGCAGGCCTCCCTGTTTTCTCCTATTTTGGTAAAAGGCTTCAGCATTTTCTGGTTTCTTGTGAAAATGGCTCTTGGTTTCTGTAAATTGCCTCAACCCAGAGTGCAGATGGTCCATGGTTCACCTTCACTTGGCTCTTACCGGCCCCCATGCTGGCTGGTTGGTGCCGTACATTGCTGCTGAGTTTTATCAAGTGCCATATGATTTTTCTGGTGAAGCTGTTAACATAGTAATTATGTGTTGATAGATTTTCTGCTTTTGAACTGTCCTTGCATTACTGGGATAAAGCTTAGTATTGTGCAGGATATGACTTTTATGTGGTTCAGTTTATTAATTTTCCTTAGGGTCTCTGCTTCTGTATTTACCACATAAAGCTGGTCTGTAGTTGTCTTCCTTTCCCATACTGCTATATTTTATCCATTCTAAGATGTGTTGATACTGGCACTTTGTGATCTTTCCCGGAGGTGGCCTGCAGGTTTCCTGTATCGCCCTCGCGCTGCCATCCAGTGGCAGAAACAGTTCAGCGTCATCAGATGTGGGGTCTTAAAGTCCAGGACACAGAGGTGAAGGTGGACTTAGAACTCAGGGGGCCTAGTCCTTTTCTCAGTGGTAATCTGTAGATTCCTTCCATGTTGGATCATTTTAAAGTAGATCGTGTATTTTCTTTAACAAATCTTTTAATGTCTTCCACATCAGTGGTGGTGATATCTCCTTATGAGCTCATGTATTCTTTGAATTATTTTGTTTTCAGTATTATTCATTTTTATATTTAATTACTAATTATATTTTGTTTTACTTTATTCTTTTCCTCATTTATTAAGTTGAATACAAAGTTTACTATTTTTGGTTTGTTTTTAATAATACAGTGGAACCTCGGTTTTCTAACTTAATTTGTTCTGGAAGGCTGTTCAAGAAGCACTTTGAGCCCTGGCCGGTTTGGCTCAGCGGTTAGAGCGTCGGCCTGCGGTCTGGAGAGACCCGGGTTCAGTTCCCGCTAAGGGCACGTACCTCGGTTGCGGTTTGTCCCCGGCCCTGGTTGGTCGTGCGGGTTGCAGCCACTCGATGTGTCCCTTCACGTCGATGTTTCTCTCTCTCTCTCCCTTCCTCTCTCTCCCTCCCACTCTATCTGTACAAAAAAATGGAAAAATATCCTCAGGTGAGGATAAAAAAAAAAAAAAGAAGCACTTTGAAAACCAAATAATTTTTTCCCATTAGAAATCATGTAAATTGAATTAATCTTTTCCATACCCCGAAATGATTTTGTTTTAACCTTTTTTTATATACAATACATGTCTAATGTACTGTTTAATCTATAAATATTTCTCTTCTCAAATGTATTGAACCACCCCCTACTGGCCTTAGACGAATCACCTTCAGCGCTTGTTCCAGGCTGTCTTTCAGGAGGTCAGCAAGCAGCATCTTTGCTTTTTCACATGTCATTGCCTCCGAAATGCTGTCACCCACCCACTAACTGCTTTTTTTTAATCTAAATCAACAACGTTTCTACCTCTTCAATTGCCCATGATCATTGTTTCATGAGCACTTTCACACTTTTAGCAACATCAGCACTCTTGATGGCCTCTTTATGTTTTAAAATTGGGCTAATCGTCCATTTCACCAGCCGCAAAAGCAAAAAAAACATGAAAGTACTCATAGCACAATTTCCTGAGATGTTACCAACTTGAGGTTTAACAGTAAAGTGATTCATAGGTGTTCATTCTCTTTTTGTTTGTGACCTGAGAGACACTTTTTGTCAT